GATTCAAGAAAACAATCAAAACTTTTTTTTTATAGGTTTTTCTGATGATTTAAAGTATTCAAAACAAAATGAATGCAGCAATAGATTAAACACAATCTAAATAACTTCTTATAGATTTTTTTTTTCAACAAATGCAATATGATCAATAAACTGAAACTAAGAATGATTTCAAATGAACAATATATAATATTTTTTTTTGAATGCAGAAATTAAATAACAAATAGCAATATTTTTTTTTTTTTGATTTTCAGATTTTATAAATGCAAAATAAACCAAGAACAAACTGCAAATATTTTTTTTTTGGAAGGAATCAAATAGCAAATATCAATAATTTGTTTTTGAATTTTTGAAATTTAAATGATGTAAATAAAATAAGAACAATATTTTTTTTAACTTTTAGATGAAATAAAATATTCAGAAAATTAAGCAAACAACTTTTTATGGATTTTAAGATTTTATAAAATTCAATAAACAAAACAATAAATAACAAATCAAAGCAAAACAATTTTTATGAGATTTGTTTTTTTTTTCTAATTAATGAAAGAAAACAAAAATAATAAATAGAAAATAAGGATATAGGTTGGATGGATACAACCTGGGGGATAGGAGCTTTTGAAGCTCTGATACCAGATGATACGATCCTCAAAGGCTGAGGCTCATTTGTGGAATGATGGAGGCTGAAAGCTGGACTAAAGTCACTCTCTTTCAGCCTGTCGGATGGAAAATGGTTGAAGCGGAAAGATGGTGAATTGATTGACTCGCTCAGTCGGTGGGATGGCTGACTCACTCAGCCGTTGGAACTAGCCTTGTCTGAATCACACAAATAAATCTATTCCAAGAATCAGTAGAAACAAAGGAATCTCTCAATTGAATCTAAAGACAAGTTGTTAAACAAAGAAGACTCTTTGAATAAAAAGAACAAAGTTTTATATTTTCTTAGATAAAAGTATGTATCTACAAATGAAACAGCAATGAGCTTATATAGGCTCAGTACACGTCCTAGGCAATAACTCTAAAGAGAGAATTATGCAAAAATCAAAGAAAGATCAAAAAGAGAGATTAAAGGGATTTTTGACCCATTTAATGAGTGATGAGCAAAAGGCTGAATGAAAGGGATTTGTTGACTTGTATCTTGATAGCTTGATGATGAATAATCTCCCCAAGTCTTGCTTATCTCGGATCATGAAGGGAAGTAGCCGTTGGTGAGTTATGGAGCCAAGTGTAAATGCTTCCATATATGGTAAGTAGAAGTGTGACATGATCCGCCTGATCATGTGGGTGCTGGTGCATTGGAAGATTTTGCCTGACTCTCCTGGATTGTTAGATGTGTCTCTTAAATGCTTAGATGTCTCTCCTGGTCGCCAAAGTTTGGTTTGCAAGTGACTAAAATCGCCAGCTCCCAAATAAGACAAGCAGAGCATCCTCCGGTTTAGAAGTTGAATAACTTTTAAAACATAATGAATTTTGGCATGAAACCAATTTTCCTCGGTTCTATGATGAATCAGGTTTCTAAAACATCCGGTTTCGTGGCTTGATTCGTCGTGGTTTGGCCGGAACGATTTATTTAGTACTCGTATATCTCCATCGGGTCTATTGAAGATCTTCCAACTTGTATCTTCAATATCTTCTTCATATGAACTCCTTTTTGGCTGATTCTTCTTCGTGCTGGACTCTGTATGAGCTGGGAGTGCTCTCCAAGTGTTTTCTGCGTTTAAATATTTTATATCAATCTCCATTTGAGCTGAACTCCACTCGGATGTCTCCTTAGCTCTTCTCAGCTTCATGTTCTCCACTTCATGACTCATGGGTTTGTGCTCCTTAGCTGATGATGACTTGAGGTGCGTATCACATTTTCACCCCCAATCTCACTTTGAACCCACTTCATGCTTACTACTCTCTGTACTCTCTTTCTCCAAACCCACCGCTGGTGATAATCCCGATGCTGCTCCCATGCCATGAAGACAGTAATTGTCGGAGATTATAAGACAAGACAACATGACCAAAAGATAGTGAAGTGGCTTTTGTTAAAGTTCTTCTCTGATTTTTTTAGCGTACTAAAATGAAAATATGTGACTTATTATCTGGTTTGACTGGAGAAGAGACAATGATCTTCATTGACGCATTCCTAGAATCTGGTACTCGTTAATGATTTAATCAATATCTGACATGCATTGACAAGAAATCTTCTCAATGTTAGTTTTCTGAAACATGAATCCACAGAAAAAAAAGAATAGTAAGAACTAAAAACACATAACTAAATATCATGGGAGAATATGAGAATAAAGAAGTCATACTCATTAATCTAACATCGTCTTAGAAACAAACTGAAGAGATATAAGAGTCTGAATCATTTTTGATACAGAAAGCTGCAAACCTCTTCTTATAAATGATTTAATACATATGAGATTCAATGATATTGATGAAAAACTATTCAAATTTCAAGAGTTTTTTGAAAAGAAATATTAATTAACTTCTATTTGATAATTATTTTTTATTATTTAATTTAGTTTTGTTTTCTAAATAATTTTTAAAGCTGATGTGTAATGTAGAGTGGATGATGAGGTGACATATTTTTGTGAGACTTAACTAAAGGCGTGATTGGTAAAGTGGAAAGGAGATAAGTAGCTAATAGCAGTTGTAGGGGGAGCTAGGAGCTGGGAGTTGGGAGCTGGGAGCTGGAGTGGGAGTCGAGAGCTGAGAGCTAAAGATGAGAGTTGAAGAGGAAAGCATAATTGTTTTTCAAAAATATATTTTTTAAAAAAGTGAAATTAATTATTTAAAAAATAAATATAATTTTGGAAACAAACAAATTAATCATTCTCTTTTGCATAAAATACTTTTGCAATTATATTTTTGTAGAAAATAAATTTTAAGCTAAATTCTTTTTTAAAGAAAAATTAAAGAAGCTTACAAAAGTTGAAGAACTCAATTGTAGAAGTGATGTACTTTACGATGAGATGATTTAATTTATAAGAATTTATTTGGGTTATTAGTAATTTATCAAAAGATATTCTATATAAATTATAGATTTTATCGAATAATATATTTAACAACAGATTTTCTAATAGAAAATCTATTATTTAAATTGTAATGCATATCTTTGACGAAGAAAAAAATATTGTTATGTATATCCAAAAGATAAATTATTGAGATTAATCGTTTAAAAATAATAATTTTTAATTAATACTATTATTCAGAAAAAAGTTGAGTATTCAAAACTTCTCATTTATCTGTATTATCACACACTACCATTTCGAGCAGTTACCTTGTTTAAAGCATATGTGTGAGATCTGTTTTTTTTTTTTTAACTTGATTGGCGTTGACTCAGTGATGGTACACCGTAATGTTGGAATCAACGTGATAACAATCACGCCTTTAAATCTTTATATAATAGATTTATATTCATTTACAAAATTACGGGATCCACATAATTAGAGAAAACGGTTAATTCACTTTAAATTTGTTATTCCTACAAAAATGAGAGTACCAAAAGAACAAATCTCATTCAACCTCTCCAACTGAAGAAAATGATTCAACTCATCATTATTTTATTCATTCAACTCATTCTTTTTATTTGTAACCATTTGCATTCTTAAAAATTGAGAATAGGAGAGGAATAAAACTCATTCAACTTATTCAACTAAAGAAAATTATTCAACTCATCATTATTCCTTCCATTCAACTCATTCATTTGATTTACAAATGTTAACTTATGATTATAGCATCGATATGTATACGAAACTGTGATTTTTGGTAGAACAAATTTCCAAAGAAGGAATCATTGTGGAAAAGCTGTATCAGTGTTAATATTGGTGGCCCTTTTAGAACACAAAACTACTAACTCAATATTTCTCTAATGTAATTAGTTTGCTTGTAAGTTGCCTATGTCAACAACATCACATATGAGATTCAATGATACTGATGAAAAAAGATTCAAATTTCAAGAGTTTTTGGGAAAGAAATAGTGATTAACTTCTATTTGACAATCATTTTTTTAATTTAATTTAGTTTAATTTTCTAAATAATTTTTAAAGCTGATGTGTAATCTACAATGGGTGATGAGGTGGCATATTCTTGTGAGACTTAACTAAGGAGGTGTTATTGGTTCATGTATTTTAATGGATTTGAGAATCCAAACCAAATTCAGTGTTATTGGTTCTTGTATTTTAAAATTTATATTGAAGTACAGTGTTATTGGTTCTATGATTTTAAAATCCATAATGAAATACAATGTTATTAGTTCTATCATTTTAGAATCTAAATATTATAAGGATTTGAGTTTTAATTAAATTTGAATGGATTTGGAAGGATTTTCATGATTAAAATACAAAGACCCAAATACAAGGTCTAACCTTGGTATTTGAGTAGATTTGATTTTTTTTCATTTTGCTGATTTTAAAATCAATAAATTTATCAAATCCAAAGAAGATTTATAAATCCACCAAAATACAAGAACCAATAACCCCTACTAAGTCTTTATATAATAAATTTACATTCTTCTACAAAATTATGGAGTTCACATAATTAGAGAAAAATGGTTAATTCACCTTTTTTTTGTCTAAGGTTAATTCATCTTAAATTTGTTATTCTTACAAAAAAAAGAGTACAGGAGGAACAAATTTTATTCACCTTATCCAACTGAAGAAAATGATTCCACTCATCATTATTCCTTTCATTCAATTCATTCTTTTTATTTGTAACTATTTGCACCCTTAAAAATGAGAAAAGGAAAGGAATAAATCTTGTTCAACTAAATAAAATTATTCAACTCATCATTATTCTTTTCATTCAACTCATTTCTTTTATTTACAATCATTTGCACCTAAGTTTTCATTTTTAATAGTAAGTATTTTTGGACAATCCATATGGAATTTAATTCCATCATATTTATACAGACGAAGAGGAACTTACTAATGAATTAGAGTATTTACCAACACAATCAAGTGTTAACTTATGATTGTAGCATCCAGATATGTAAGAAACTGTGATTTTTTTGATGGAACAAATTTCCAAAGAAGAATTCATTGTGGAGAAATTGTCTCAATGATCAAGTATGTTTTCAGTCTATTTTTTTTACAGTGCATTATTCTAATTATATTGTTTCATATAGAATTGTTTTTGACCAAATATTTATTTCCACATTGTTGAGGATTATGATGGATTTCACTTGAAATGACTTATTATCAATTTCATCCATCACTTTTGACCTAGCTTATTACAAAGAAGCCATCATTCATATGTGTTGGTAATATCATTTGTCAATGGAGCGTTTGGTTCAAGGAGCGTTTCACGTTCAGTAGCTCAGCAGCCTGTGCCTTGAGTTCCATTATATTATCCTGCGACCAGAAATCAGAAACTTTACCTTACATATCCTTAAATGTAACAAATTTTTGATTACTTTAATGGAATCTTACTTTCAATTATATGATATAGAACACACTACTTTGACAAAATAAGACAAACCTAAGCCAGCTTCGCTTATTAGAGATCAGGTTGAATATATTGAAGGCATTGAACAAATCCTAATAAAGGGCTAAGTTTTTCTTCATCATTATTGCTAAACATGAAAGGGAAGTCAAGTATCAGCATCATCATAATTATAATCATGTTTTTAAGATTTGAACCAGAGACATCATCAAACATCAATTCCAAGCTTTTCAGCAAGAAATATCATCTTGTCGTTTCAGATAACAGCATTGCAAAACATGCCTAATCAGTCAAAATCAGTAAAAAAACAAAATATCAGAGAAAAGTAAGTGTCAAACCTGAAAGGCTTCTGAGACTTTAGTATTGTAAGAAGGTCTCCAGAAACCGAAACCGAAACCACCGAACAGATAGGCCGCCTCTCTCACTGACTCGATCGGCGGTGAAGTGTCGATCTCCGCTCGGCAATTCGCATTATACGACAGATCTGTGTCAAGGTTTAAGCATTCCCGCTCTATCACAGTGCCCGATTCTGGGGAGTTCGGGCATGAACATCTACGGGGAAAGAGAAGCAGAAAAGACAGGTCTTTGAGGCACGGAGAGAGAGAGAGAGAGAGAGAGAGAGAGAGAGAGAGAGAGAGAGAGAGAGTGTTATTAGTTTAGGGATATACGATATAGATGATCGAAGAACCAATATAATCTTTTTAAAATTTGTTGATTTCAAACATGTTGATTTTATTAGGGTTTTCATTGGTAAATTTTATGGAATGGTGAAATGGTAAAAAATAATTCTGTAGCAATTTCACCAATCAAAAAAATTTATGGAAAAATTTGAGTTCTGCAGAATGATAGAAATACTTATAAAAAGTATAAAAAGTTTTAAAATTTTTAACATAGAAATCTCTCTAAATTCGTTAAAATTTATTTTACAATAAAATTCGTAGTTTTAAAATTATGAACCAACAATACAGAATTTAAATATAAATTTTAAAATTATAAATTAATAACAAAAATTTAAATGTAGATTTTAAAATTATAAAAGTAATAATACTAAATTTGGTTGATTTTTTAAAATTATATTAAATTTAATTTAGTTTTAGTTTTAGTCAAAAGTGGAATCAAAACTCTGGTTTTCTGGTGTTTTGTCGTTGTAAGGGTGATGATGGTGGTGGAGTGGGAGAAGAGATGTATGTCGGGTGTGGATTTGTTATTGGGTTTGATGATGATGGTTGGGTTTGGTCTTGTATTGGTGGTGGATGTGTATGAGCTGGATTTGGGCTTGTTTGTTCTGTTTGGTGTGTCTGGGCCGTGGGTGGCGGCCTATTTTGATTTGGAGCAGTGGGCTCAGAATGAGAGAAGGAGACGAGGAGTTAGAGTTAGGTGATAATACCTGAGTGTTCGTCGAGGTTGCCGGCTGTGGTGACATTGACGTTGTTGGGTGAGGATCTGAGATGGGAAAACTCGTCGGCAAAAATGATTGAAGTGGAAGAGTTGTATGGAATGGCCAATTCGTGTCTGTTATCACTTGTTCTGGAGCAGCTACTCGATGATTTGGAGGTGTGGCGAATGGAAAAGAGCGCTCATCGAATTGAACATGACGAGAGATATAAAGTTGGCGAGTTTGTGGGTGATAACACAAATATGCACTGTGTATTTGAGTATCCAAAAAAGACACACCGGAGGGAGCGATCTTCAAGCTTGTGGCGGTTGTACGGACGAAGCCATGGATAACAACAGCAGCCGAAGACCCGAAGCTTGTCGTAGTTGGGTTTTGATCCAAAAAGCTTCTGAAACGGTGATTGGAGGTGAAGGACTGGAGTTGGAAGCCGATTGATGAGATAGACAGCAACTGCAAAAGCGTATGGCCAATACATTTTAGGGACAGAGGCTTTTGACAGTAACGTCAGTCCCATTTCTACGATGTGATGATGTTTTCATTCGGACATGCCATTATGCTCCGGTGTGTGAGATGGTGAGGTGAGATGAGATATGCCCTTGTTGGTGAGATGCTGCCGTAATGCCATATATTCGCCGCCGTTATCAGAGTTTAAGGTACCAATCCTTCTGTAAAACTTGTTTTCGACAAGATTTTGAAAAGCGATGAATGTCTCCTTGACTTGAGATTTTTGTTTGAGCGGATATAACCAAGTATATCTTGTGAAGTGGTCAATGAATATAACATAGTATTTGAATTGATCGGTTGATGGGATAGGTGAACTCCATACATCAAAGTATAAGTATTCAAGCGGGTGTTGAGAGGTGATAATGGAATGAGAAAAAGATATTTTATGGTTCTTATTTAGGAGACAATCACAACATGAAAATGGGTCTGATGTTTTATTTGAAACAGGAAGAGAAAAATTCAAAATGGTGGTGTTTAAAATGGGAACCGACGGATGACCCAGGCGTGAATGCCATATAGAACGAGTAGTAGTGGAAGTTGCTGCGGACAAAGCTGTGACCGGAGACACTTGTACTGGCCACTCATACAACTCTTCTCTAGTTCTGCTTTGGAGTAATGTGATTCCCGTTCTGAGATCCTTCACCTAAAATGACGTGGGGAAGAATTCAATCGAAACACGGTTAGAGTTACACAACCTGAACACAGAGATAAGATTTTTGTGTATCTGTGGAGCATATAACATATTTTGTAATCGTATTTGACTGGTTTTTGTAGGAAGAGAGACAGAATCCGTGTGAGTAATAGGAACGGAGGAGCCGTCAGCAATGATAACTTCGTCGCTCCCATTGTAAGGTTGATGCATCGATAGATTGGCCAGGTCTGAGGTAATGTGGTGAGTGGCGCCACTGTCCATGAGCCAGTTATTTTGTGCATACTGCGAGTTTATGGCAACATTTGCTCTTGGCTGCCATGGCGTGAAAGGACTCTGTTGTGGATGTGAGACAACTTGAAAGTTTTGAAGCTGGGGACACCTTTTGGCACTGTGACCCTGAACTCCGCAGATCTGACAGCGGCCAAGGTAAGGCCTCGAACCTCTGGCTTGGTGTTGAGATTGTTGCCAGTTGTTGTTGTTGTGGAATCTCTGACGACTGTTGGTGTTGTTGTTGTTGTTGTTGTTGCGAGTGAACTCGCGAGAGTTATTGGCGCGATGTTGAACTGCGTTAGCAGTCACTGGAAGGGTGGGATGAGCATGTTCTGCAGCCCAGAGAAGCTTGGCTTCGTGATTAAGGAGACGTTCATGAAGTTCCGTCAGCGTTGGTGGGAGATCTCTTCCTTTCATTTGATCAATAACATTTTTGTAGTCTTCGGGTAAGCCTTCTAATATCAGATCTATCTGATCTTCATGCTCAACTGCTTTTCCTAGAATCGTCAATTGATCGAGTCTGGTGGTGATACCTTGGAGATATTCATCGATAGTACGAGTGTCTTTCCGCCAATACTTAAGTTGAGTCTTGAGTTGCTTGATATGGCCTCGACTGGGCTTGGCATAGGTTAGTGCTAAAGTATTCCATACTTGATATGATGTAGTGGCTCGGGAGACAAGCGGTTGGAGGGAAGGAGTGATAGTGCCAATGAGGGAGCTGAAAATCAACGATCTTGACGTTTCTATATTGTATATGCCGGATTGTCCGTGATGACATCAGCAATTGTGATGGTGGCTGGAGGGATCTGAGCGGATTCATCAATATGACTTGCAAGGTCATACCCGTGCAGAAGGGCGTGAACTTGGATTTGCCACATGAGGTAATTGGTAGCGGTAAGTTTAGAGATGCTGGTCATGTTGACATTGAGTAAGGTTTGGGTGTTTGTGGAGATGGTATCGTTTACTGTTGTAGGAGATGTGTTTGTGTTTTCGGAGGTCGACATCGTGTGTTTCAGTATGAAAGAAAAATAGAAGAATTTCTTGGATCTATAGCTCTGATACCATACAGAAATATAGAATTGTGTCTTCTCATTTCACTTGAAGTAAGTATATATACAAAGATGATATAGCTAGGGTATTTGGTGAGAGTTAAGAAGAATCTAAACTATACATATTTAGAACCGTAATGTACTCAATCATATATGTAATTGTAATCAATCACTGATCCGATAATCTCCTTATAAATGTGATTAAAGACGTGTTGTCGGTGTCAAAACGCCACACCACGCCAACGCCACGATCGTCTGTATTTGTTGTCTACAGTAAGAGAGAGGGAAAAAAAATCGAAGTTGAAAAAAAAAGGTCATGTATCCGTTTTTGTGCTCATATTCGATTAGTTAATTCTTTTGTTGTATTGAGTAAAAAACATATTGCATCGTCGTCTCGTCTCTTCTCATCTTGATCACCGACTCAATAGGCTGGGATAATCCGTGAAAAAAAGAAAGTCAAAAGTAGAAAAAAGTTAAGCCAAGTGGTAAAAAGTTTGGGTTGATAAGAGTTTTTTTAAATTTTAGTTATCCGACCAAACATGTAACTGGTTACATGACATGTACTGATCCGTCACTAGAATAAGCTGTTTTGATCCAAACCGATAGTTTATAGAATCTATACATGAAATGTTCGTTTAATTCGAGTTGGACATGTCACATAGGTAAATTCAAATTACTCAACTCGAGATGCACATGCCTAACTGTAATTAAAACCTTTATATATTGGTAGTGATTTTTTTAGTTGCCAATCACCATCATATTCCATCCACCATCAAAAAAAAAAAAATAGAGGATATCTCTTCAGAGTCCTAAACACATACAATCACTATATATATCTAAAATTTGGCATCTCTTTCAGAAAAAATGATCTTGTTTCAGTTCACTCGATTTGTATTCGCCTTCTACAAACAATTGACCCTATCTAGAAGAACCATTTCTACATGGTGGTAAACTAATTCGTTCATGGTTACTTTTATTTTACTCACATAGAAGATTATATATCTTTAGTCACTAGGCTATCTATGTGTAGTGTCATCATAATTTGTCTTTTTTTTTGTCGAAACGTTAAACTAATATTGTCATTTCTGTCATCAATTATGCTCCGGGGCATGATGATCCATTAGGTTGTTGCTATGATCAATACATTCAACCGAAACCTAAACGTGTCCATAAAGATTGTAAAAGCAATCTCCTTTATATAAAAGGTATAGATTTCCTGCTTTCTAAGGGGTGCCACATAGACAAAAATAATCAGCTAATAAGAATATAACAAATTGCCACATCGTTAAATTATAAAAAAACTAACCAATAAGAATAAAACAATATACCACATCAGCAAAAATAATTAACCAATGGTAAATTTCAAAACTGCTATGTCATCTTCTCCCACCAATAATTTAAAGCCATTTTATTAAATAATTTATTAATCAAAATTTCTTCAAATTTTACTTAAAAAAAGCTTTTATAATTTTTAAATTCTCAATAAAAAAACAAAGCTAAAATAAAACTGAAAACGAATTACACTAAAACTCAATTATAAAGCTTAAACAAAAGCTTATTTTATGGAGTCATCGTCTTCTCGGTTTCCAATCATCTTGCCTATGACTCACCAAAAACGGAATCAGCCGTCACTAAACACAAATTTTACTTATTAATTAATGACAACCAAACTGCTGATAAACAATAAAACTTATATAAATGGAGCATAAATATATGGAAATCCAAAAGACATAGCAATGAGGATGTCAAAAAAAAAAAGACATAGCGATGGGCCACATATGG